AAAATTCAGGTAGCACACTGGGCTACCTAGGTTCAAAAATAGGTTCAACTGGGCAACCAGGTATTTTGCACGCTGGGCACTAAGGCCACACCAACTTAATTTGTTGGGCGACAGGGCGAAAAAAAAAATGAATATAAAAAAAAACGGGTGTAGGCATCCTATTATAGCCCCAAATGCTACGATAGGACCCATGAAGTCAACACAAAAGGCTGGGTCAATATTCAAAGAATTTTGAACTTTTAATCAAACCACTGCATTGATAGATGGAAAAACTAGGACTTTCCTCAACTGTTGGGGGCAAATTATGAGCATTTTTGAGTTGATTCAGAACCAGAATCTTTATTTTTGGAAATCAGAAAAAAAACGAAGAGATGAATCCAAGAAGCAACAAATTAAATTGGTGTGGCCTAAGTAGTGCACTAACCTATTGTTGACAATATTCAAGGCATGCACTGTATTTGCAATAAGGAACTATTGTAGCTGCTCTTTAGATTATCAGGCTTTGCAGGCTCAAAGATTGTGTTGGTATCAGGCTATAAAAAGATTTGTCTCACTAAACTCTGCATACTCTGATGCAGATAAACACACATTACTAGTATTAATTTTAATGTGTCTCATGCCCCAATTCAGCCATGTAAGGCTGCAATGGTATGTGTGTTGCAAATAAACCAGTCATTCATTCATTCATACTGCGAATGTGCAAAACACAATAATGTATCACGCATAGCACTTTGGCAGAATGTCTTGTTTAAGGTCAAATTCATGATATTTAAAAATGACGTTCTGTCTATAGTTTTGAAATGTTGTGTCAGAAAAGATATTGCTTGCAACAACCAAATTCTGATACATCGTTGACCAAACATATGGGTTTCAGATAGGTTCTGCCAGAATGTTTCATATGCTTTTTATTATTTTACGACAAGCTGGACAGAGGAACGTTGGCCTTATACTGACCTCTGGCATCCTTGAAGTTGACATCAGGTTGGTGATGTAACAGTGCATCCACACATTCTTCATGCCCATTGGCTGCCTAATGGGAGATATACATGTAACCTTTAATACTGTAAACAACTCAAACAAAGTCTGCATTGGTCTACATGTAATTCCTAACTTAAAAGACATTTGCAATGCCATACAGTCAAATAATGTAGAACTGGTATATCATCAAATGAACACGTTAAGGACAAAACTATAAAAAAAAAAAAAACACTAGAAAAATCCTCAAAAAAGGTCTATCATTGATTCGTTACTAAGTTTATGTACAAGTACTGTGCAGTTGAAGTTCTGTTCTACCATGTGGTATGAAAGAATTTTGGTGGTTAGGTCCTGCAAAGTAAACCTTTTACCCACTGCCTCACTCCATAACAAGTCCAAATTTGGTGCCAAACAGATAAATGTTAGGCCACACCATCTTAATTTTATGGATGACATCCTCTGAGGACCCCTAAACTAGTGCGTGCGGGCAAATAAAAAAAATTCCGGCCAAAAATAAAAATGCTGCTAAACCACAGGAATGCAAAGCTGGTACAATGTATTGTGAATTTGTGGCTGTACATAGAGACGTATACAATAAACTGGCACATGCTGTCTTTTTGTGGAATTTATAAATCGGCACTGTACGTATGCACTGAGTTCTTGAGTCATGGAGCTACAGTAGCCTGGGTGCCCAGCTCCATATTGTCGCTAACTACCATGGACTACCCAGGCCTAGAGCCAGGCCAGAGCCTTGGTGGATGTGATCTTTTTCTTTTTGAGAACAGGCGAAAATCAATGCACGCGCAAATGTCAGACATCCACAAAATCAAGTTGGTGTGGCCTTAAAGAAAAAAGTGACTGACCCCTCTGTGTAGAGCAGTGCGCTGGTGAATGTCGGTGGCGCCGATGTTGGAAGCGTAGGACAGCAGCAGTAGGGTGCTGTCTGTGTGTCCGTTAGCAACGGCTATCATCAGGGGAGTCCTAAACAACACAAACAACCAGGTAAACAAGAAGACATCAAAAGGTTCAAACAGGGTGATTGTACACATGTGCATGACTTTGTCATCTTTAAAACAATTTATATACTATTGAAATTAGCGCAAAATTTTGTAGCAAGCACCACACTACCATAGTTTAGAAGCAAGATATGTTGTTTGCGGGGCACGTCTGGGCAAAACTGTGGTGACATTATTTAAGGGGGCCGACACTTGACGATGCCCAATGGCAATGTTTTCTTCATTTTGTGGTGTAAATCTTTGAGTATTGAAGATATCAGGTGGTTTAGAACAAAAAGGGGAATGTGACATGATTTTTTTTTGTGAGTGTGGAACTACATTTGTAGTTTCAGACATTCAGGTTTTTTTTGGCTTGAAAATAAACATTTTTACAAGTTCAGAACTAGTTCCAGCGAACCGGTACACTCTCAGCACTAATAGTAATACAGAGGTGTGTTACAGTCTAACTCACCTGCCCTGCCCATCCTGACAGTCCACCACATCTGACCGCGGGCCCAGACTGTGTTTTATCAGCAGACGCAGACACTCGGTGTGGCCGTTATACGCTGTACACAAACATGGTAATAAGGTCACATGTTAAGCTGGTTATCAGTCATAAATATGAAAGATATGTGGTAGGTTTGGAGTCTAGTTATTAAGTACAGACTAATATTCTAAAATGAGCATTATAACCATTGAAAAGGTGTTTTTTTCAAACCTGATCAAACAAACAAACACACACACACAAGCATACATGCACAAACACGTGTAATAGAGCAACAACCAATCAAATTTCTAGTGAAGACTTTCTACTGTAATATAAAGCCACACCAAGTAATTTTTATGGATGACATCGTCTGGAGACCCTAAATCTAATGCGAGTACGAGTAAAAAACAAGAAAGGCTGAAAAAAGCAAGTTGCCTACATTTGAAATATACTAAGGGACGACAAATGTTAGGACACAAATTGAATGAGAGAACACAGTGTAACAACCAGCATCATGTCTTTTAATTCGTCAATCGACTCATGAAAACAGCAATTATAAATAAATAAGTGGAACAGCAGTTGTCATCCTGTCCTGTTTCTTTTCTTTGATCACATCTTCCCTTATCCCACTGTCGCGACTCTTTGGTCATAGGTACAAGAAGCGGAATTTCTTGTTTTTTTTCTAGCCAAAATCAATGCACGCACGGACATCATCCATAAAAATGACTTGGTGTGGCCTAAGTGTATGTGTAGATTGTACCTGCAGCATGTAGGGGTGTCCTCTTGGTCTTGTTGTCCCTGACTATGATGGTGGCCCCCTGTAGGATCAGGGCCTCCACAGAGTCCACGTGGCCCTTGAAGGAGGCCAGGTCCAGCGGCGTGCGACCGTCCGCGTCCCCAACATCCACGTCCACAAAATGGTTCATCAGAACCATCAGGGCCTGGTGGTGCCCGTTGTATGCCTGCAACAAACATCACAGCAACCATTACAGCTAGGACTAATACACTTGTGTACATGTACGTTCCAAAATACTAAGTACCTAATACCAGCTCAGAAAAGAACAAGAAAAAGCTATGCCTTCAAGTACCAGAGTTATCAACCAAGGATTGAGGTGTTCAAGAACTCATTCTTTCCTAGAGCTATGGCAGAGTGGACCTGGAACTCACTGTCACCATGCAAGTACAGTAGGGGCATTGTCATTAGATAGCTTTAAACAATGTTAGATGTTCAAGGGTTAGGTCAGTAACAAGTCTTTTCGCATAACGTAGCCTAGCCAGCTGCCGCCACGCCGCGTGCCTGAGAAGCTGGTGTGTTACGCTGAAGGGCTGTTATACCGGCATACAGACAAAGATACAGTACACATCAGAACCAGTTGTTGCCCTGAAGAAGCGTCACCAAAATGTCCAATGTGAAAAACATCTGGTTGTTGAATGAAGAACCAACCTAATGAAATTATTCAGAATACATTCCGCAGTTTATATTTGCGGAATGTACAGAGTTCATGCCTAATTTAAAAATTGTCAGTTGAGGCAAATGAAAGCTGTTTGCTTTTTGTAACACTTACTGTTAGAGACAACAAGGAATCTCTTGTCCACATGCCTCAGATGATACTGTAGACAGGGACTTTTCCATCCTTTAGTGTAGTGGGGAAAAACTGTAAGATACAACTTACTGCAAGGTGCAATGGTGTTGTCCTTGGTGATGACTTCTTTCTCCTCTTCACAAAATCATCTCTGGCCAAGTCCAACAGCTGAAATGGAGAGTGATTTAGTTGGTGGATGCTCAACAATATCTCCCACAATCTCTTCTTTTTTGTTGTATAAACTTAAGAAAGCATTTTAAAACTTGGAGATAGCACGTCAGCAGGACGTACTTCACCTGTGTGAAACCTGTAATGTATTGTGCATAGCACTTCGGCAGAAGGTCTTCAAGTATTCAAGTATAAAAGGTTGACATGTTGACAGTAGTTTCAAAATGTTGTGTTGGAAAAGATATCGTCTGCAGTAGGAAAAATTCTGCAACGTTGACCAAACATCCAGCAAAACCCAAGAAAAATCAGGGTTTGCACAGGCGCAATACGTTCTGCCGACTTGCTCTTGGAGAAAATCTACACATTGATTTTTTAAAATGTAATAGCTAGACAACACCTTTTGCGGGGCATAGTGTTCATTTTAATCTTTTGTACATGTACTTACCAGATCTATGACCAGCTTGTGGCCGTTGGCTGCTGCATAGTGCAGTGCATCAAACCTGTTGTTGTCATGAACAGTGGGGTCAGCCCTGTTGTGTAACAGGTGCTCCACACACCTGGAAAAAAATAGGGCAAATTGTTAACTTGGAATCAAAGCAGGGTTGGACAAATGTTCAAAAATCCTATCGGGGAAGTACAAGGTTATTTCCACTTGCCCGTTCTAGCTTTTCACTTGCCCAAAATATAGTGACTATCATTTCTATGCATTTTTACTGCCACCAAGGAAATTGTCTTATTTTGGAGTTGATAATGTTGGATGCTTTATTTATGGAAATAAGGTGGTTTGACTCGCTCCAACCACCGTAGTGGCTATACTTTGCATTCAAAATTAACTTGCCCAATCGGGCAAGTGTAGAAGCACCACTTGCCCGAACAGTACTTTTACTTGCCCTGGGCAAGTGGGCATCTGTGGTACTTGTCCAACCCTGCAAAGTACAACATCTTACAGGTCATATTTCTCTGTGGTGTAATGGCAAAATGGTCAGAGTGGTTGACTTAGAGCCAAGAGGTCCCTGCTTCGATCCCGACATTCTTGAAGTTATGCCCTTGGGAAAGGTACTTTTTGCGATGTCCCTCACCGTACTACATAGATTGACACCCACCGGGCCTTTCAGCTACATGCCACTAAGGGAGTGTACCATATTTACCGGGGGTGGGGGGGGCTGGTTGTTTGAGGGGGGAGGGCCCAGGAAAAAAGTGTTGAGTTGGGGGAGGGCCTAGGAAAAATATTTTTAATGGGGGTATAGGGCCTAGGAAAATTTTTTTTCCAACATCCATTCAATTTTCCAACATTTTTAGATAATTTTGAAACATGATTTACATCCTTACAGCCTAGGAAAAAATTTTTATGCTACCCTCGGATGAATGGCCCTCCCCCCGCTAAATATTATACAGTCCCTAAGAACTGTTAACATTTTTGAATGAATCTTTCCTGCTGTAACCAAAATTGAAATCACTTTGTCTGTCCCTGGGTACGTACTTGCCATCAGCGTCAGTAGCAGCTGCATAGTGCAGGGGGGTACACCCCCTGGAGTCCCTGAGGTTCACATCCGACCCTGCAGCCACCAGGGCCAGCACACACTGGTAGTTAGTCTGGCTCGCTGCATAATGCAGTGCAGTTCTGGAGAGAAACACCAGGGGGAGCAAGTGAATGGCCATAGACTTTTTAGTGAAGAGATCTTGGTTATGTATACCACAAGTTATCACACCACTGTAGGGATGTAATCATGGATGCCTTCAATTTTTTCCATGGCCTACAGTACATCACACCTTTAGCTTTTTTCGTAATCTCTAAGCAGATCTTTTGGTGGCTGTAATACAGTGTCAATTCACATGACAGTACCAAATTGGCAAGGCAGCTGCCCCTTGAATTGGCTGGCATAAAAAAGATTCCAGTACAAAAAAAAGAAAACTCCTAAAAAGATAAAACTGCTAAAAAACATTATTCCTATAAGGCCACACCAATTTAATTTCTTGGTTAACGGATTCGCCGCTTTATTTTTTTCTGATTTGCAAATAAAAATAAAAATTCAGAATCAACTGTAAAATGCTCATATTTTGCCCTGAACAGTTGGAAACAGTCCTTTACATCCTAGTTGTTACAGTTGTTCCATCTTTCAATGCAATGGTATCATTAAAAGTTCAAAATTCATTGTTTAAATTTTGAACCAGCCTGGTGTGTTGACTTCATGGCTCCTATCATACCATTTTGGGCCATGATAGGATGCCTACGCCTGTTTTTATTTTTATTTTTTTTTTCGCCCGCCCGCTCCATTATTTTTCTAGAAAAATCCGTTAAGGCCACACCAATTTAATTTCTTGGTTAACGGATTTTTCTAGAAAAAAATGGAGCGGGCGAGCGAAAAAAAAATAAAAATAAAAATTTTTGAGACCACCTGCCATACAGCCATGTAGTAAGCAATCCATTAAGTTAAGTTACAAAATGATATAAGACATTATATTAGACACTTATTGAACTGAAAGGACCATTACTACATGTACATGAGCAACTTCTCTTACATCCCTTTACAATTATTCGTATTATTTTGCAAGATACACATCTTTACTGTATGAACAACAAACTGTCACTGAGTGTCAGTTGACAAGACTTCCATCCAACTGGTTTCACTTTTATTCATCTTTCAAAGTTCCAAAGAGTGGTTTAAATCAGGGTGCTCTGTTCAGATCCCATTGTTTTCTTAGTTCAGGGCACACAGCTTACCACTGGGCTGGGCATTCTATTGTGTCTGGCTGATATGGAAGTTATTTAGAGCTTGAAATTTACAATATCCTAAATATATGCTTTAGACAAATTTCCAGGAATGTGTAAAAGTTATTGGCAAAAGAATTAACTACTTTTACAGATATTTTATTTCTTTTTTTATCTTTCCCCAATTCCCAAATACTACCGGTAGTATACATTTTATATTTCCCATTATACACTTTAGGTATGCTACACCTACATTATACTAGTACATAGCCAGCATTCAAACAAATAGCCACAATGACACACTCTTCAAGTTGCCACAAATTCAATGGTCTAGGGTTTCACTATAAAGTCTTTGATGTATGGGGATTTTTATTTGTAGGGGGAACCATTTTATTAAAAAATTTAGATGTAATAATTGATGCATTATTTGCAATTGTACTTCTGTTTATAGGTATCTGAATAAGATGTAACTTTGTTAGAATGCCACATGCACATGTAGTATTTTTCACAGAGTAATTTCTATAATTAAAAGAACCTGTTTCCCCCTACTCGAAGTGGACTCTTCCGACCGTGAGAAAGTTAGTGAATGGACTTACGTGCATGGAGGACTTTTTACTTTGCCAAATTCCCATGTTTGTGGTAGGATTTTGTACTTTTTTGAGAGTAATACAGTTTGTGATGTCAGAATACATTGTTATGTCGTGTTATTTTTACATATTCCCTGGAAAAAAGATCGTTTTGAAGGTGTGTGTGCATGTGCCGCCCAGGCCGAGTTTATACGTTCGGCCGATAATTTACTTTTAACGCCCGTTACTAGCACATGTTTCCGACACAATACGTGTTTCTAAATGAAATATAATATATATCTAAAAGGGAGATGATATGTTGTTACAGGCACGATGACTTAGTAAATCTGCCGTACGTTTGACTGTCGTCAGTGAAGTTTTGTCCCATGAATGGTGACATGTGCAAAGGGGGTGGGGGCGAGTTCTATATCAAAATAATTTTTTTGACGAACTTTTGAAGAGGCAACCTAGCTTTACGAACAAATTGCACTCAGAAAAATGTTTCTGCCTTGAAGCAATGTATTTTAACGCTGTTAACTATGCCCAAATTTTGAAAAATTACAACGTACGGGGTGGATTTTGGGGCCCCAATTCGGGACCCGAGAGTTTGGATTTTTGTTTTGTTTTTATTTTTATTTCATTTTGGCAAAAAAACGAAGCGGCGAATCCGTTAACCAAGGAAATAAATTGGTGTGGCCTAACCAAGAAATTAAATTGGTGTGGCCTAATAACAACACACTACATTTTCAAAATAAACTGTAAAATAAAATTGTAATGCTAGAAACTAGGTAACATTTACAAAGCAAATGCATAATGTTAACCTTTGCATGGTCTGCTGTTAATTCTTACTCAAACACATTCATTTCATATATATGGTCAGACAGGAGTCTAAATCCCTCCTGCTATAAAATTGCAACATGATGTAACCCAAGTTACCATGGAAACAGACAGTTTGGCTCAGGTCATTAACCTTTTTGGTGTGAAGACGAAGAGGAAACAGAGCAAAAACGATTATCCTTCAGTAAACATAATTATTATCATTATAATTATATTTATTATTTTCATATTATTATATCATAATGTATATTATTATTTCTTACCTTCCGTAGTGGTCCTTTTTATGGAAGTCTGCTCCACTTCTCATCAGCAGGTCCAGACACTCAATGTTACTGTAGAGGAACAATGAGCTGGCTCATTGATGGGTAAAGGGGGGACAGAGCCAAAAAAACTGCACAGTTAATTGGATGTTACAGATTAGACTTCATGCCATGTCCTCCATTTCTTAACCTTTTACTATTTTTAGCAGCACATGTGTAGTAAGGTTATGAGGTTAGACAGTACAGAGAATCCAAGATTGATGATACAATCATGTTTGGGAAACAACTAACATTATTTACTTCCATGAATAGTTTTGTTAGGTTGGTAAGTCACTGAATAAAAAGACTCTTTTTAATGCAACAAACTGTTGCAGGAGACATTTTGGCTGAATAAAACACTTTATTCTATTTGATTATATTTATCTTATTATGCTTAAAAAAAGAGTCTTTTTATTCAGCATTATCTACTGATGTTAATACAAGAAAAAATGGTTAGCATTCCTGTTTTCATTTTTTTTTGTATAAGGCCACATGGTCCCACACCAATTTGATTTGTTGATTCACACATTTTTTCAGAAAAAATATGAAGCAACAGGGAAAAAAAAATAAAAACAGGCTTAGGCATCCTATAATAGCCCCAAATGCTATCATAGGACCCGCTCAAACTTTACTGACACCACTGCATTGATCGATGGAAAAACTGTACCAACTCTGAAGTACAAGGGACTGCCTTCAACAGTTGGGGGTAAAATATGCATTTTGGAGTTGATTCAGAGCCTGAAATGTTTTCTCTTTATTTTTAAATCAGAAAAAAATGAAGCTGTTGAACCAACAAATTAAATTGGTGTGGCCTACATGTGAGTACATCTCAGGTCTCGAAATTAAATGTGGCCACTTACCACCAAAATTTAGGCTGGGACAACTACAATGCAAAAAGACACTTTGGACATTTTGGGGATAATTAATACTAAAATAATCAACATCAGAATGTCAGCCCTTCTTTTGTTTATCAGGCACACGTCCTGGCTTTTGGATCCGGAAAAGTCCCCAAAAATTTCTGTCTACTCTGCAATTATAGTGTGCCTGGGAGTGAACATAAGCAAAATACATGACTTCATGTTGAAGTCATACAATACTTCCCAAAAAATAGGTTGGGACAGTTCATCCTTACTTCGGGACAATTGAAATTTATTTTTGGGACAGTGCTGGCCAGGACAATAGGAAGAAATGTTAATTTCAAGGCATGCATGCATTGTTAAACTGAGGGAACATTACAGTTACAACTGTAGATCCTTACCCTCCACATGCAGCTGCATGGAGACAGGTCCTGCCATTGTCATCTACTGCATCAATCTCAAAACCTGCAGAAAAATCACATAGGCATCTTATTAACTTACACTTATCAAAGGACAGCAAGAATTCAGAGATCTCATACCTTCATGAAATGTGTAGAGTTTGTTCAGGACAAAAGATACAAAACTGGAAGTTCTGCTGCAGTACCAAGGTCAGCCAGCAGGAGGCCTACAATATGAGCCAACAGGGGTTACCACCAGTTCACCATTGCAGCTTGTCATTGGCTTGGATTAAAATCTCCCATAAAAGCAGAGGAGCTTGCAGTACTTCCCAAGCAGGGTATATATGCACATGTATTTGCTATGACTGTTATAGCTGATCTATGTACATGTACAGTACAGTGTATGAAGTAGTCACTTGTGTAGCAGTGTAAAGCACTGTGTTTAGTAACAAAGAGGTTAGTCAAAAAGATGGTAGTTATCAATGCTCCTATTACCTACATGTTTTGTTATCTTCATATGATTATGAAATGAATATATGGCCAGAATTCTATAGCATTTTGTTTTAAAACAAAAGTACCCAAAAGGCCGGTCATGGGTGTGAAATTTCAATTCAATTCCAAGAAGACATTGAGAAATGTCACAACATACATGTCTTTCATGTTTAAAGTACCGGTATGTATTCATACATACCAGGACTTACAGGCAATATGGTAGAAGGAATGATTGTTATTGTATAATGTTTGAATGCAGATGTGCTCAAGAAGTACAAAAATGTATAAAGCAAAAGAAGTCGACCTTAGGCTAATATACAGTTCCAATGAATGCCACACAAAAAGCCCCTTATTGCGAATGGCAGAAATAAGTTGAGGTGTTAAAAATTTGTCTGCCAATATGCCAAAAAACATGTAAGACTTCCTTTCCAAAATCACTTGAAGTTCTTATATTATCATGAAAGTTCATCTGTGTTGGTAGTTACATGTTGAAAGTTAAAATTTTAGATCCAACACAATAACTCTTCCTCAGTAGACTGACCCAGTGAGGCTTGTCACGTGGCTTATTTGATGTGTGACGGGGGCCGACATCATCTACCAGATACATTGTACCTTTGACCCAGTGTTGACGTCGTACTTCAAAGAAGCCACATGACAAGCCTCACTGGGTCAGTCTACTGAGGAAGACCTGAGTGACTGTTCAAAGCTTAAGGTGAGAGAAATTTATTGTGTTGGATCAAAAGTTGAAACTTTAAACATGTCAGATTTCCACATGCCAGCACAAGTCACCAGACCCACAGAAACATGGCTCACCATTCAGGTCGGAGGTGACTTTCCCATCATCCTCTGGGGTGGCTGTAGCATGGATGGAGCACAACTACTTAGAAGGAGGTCTCACACCAGAGTAGGTCTCAGACCAGAGTTACAGAGGAAGCCACCATTTTCAATTGATTATCAGTTTAGATCCTCTTTTATCCATTCATTTTGGCCTGTCTGATCACCCCCGTTGTTAAATGATGCCTACCAGACCCTTGTTTTCTGTCACTAAAGGCTGGAACATGCTCATTTAAATACAGGGGTGTTCAGGACGGTATGAGACCATGTCAGTGTCAGCAATTATTTCAACAAATTTGATGTTCAATTTCATCTTTTTGTTTGGATTGGGGCAATGCAAATGAGATGTTAAGAAAAAAGAAAAACAAAGAAAGTCAAATATGGTACTTGAAACTAATAAACACTGTAACATCACATAAAAGCTATATGTATATCACTTTGTCAGACAATGTGTAAAATACCTAATTCAGAAACTAAGAAAATTGTATATTTTCTTAGTATATTATGTACTAAAAATCAACTATCTTATTTTTCAAATAAATTAAATATGTTTGTGCTGTGTAAGATTGCTTTAAAATGCTGTCAGAAATGCTGCTGAGAGAAAACCAAAAAGAAGCATGTGTTGACAGATCTGTGTAACAATAATTTGATTATGCAGCATTGTAAGTTGGGAAGAGCATGGAGTTTCTATTTAGCAGACTATCACTGAACTTTTACAATTTAACTGTTAGCATAGAAAGCAAAAAGGCATTAGCTTTGTTAATGCTATGTTAAAGAGTATGAGCCAAACAGATAAGAAACAGACATGTTAAGATAAAATTGTATCTTAAGTGTAAATGTGTCTTTAGTGTAAATGTACTGTCACATCATCAAGTAACCTGTCAAGAATATTATTTACGGATGTAGGGTATGTAAATGTAGTTGTTTTTGAAAAGCTGCAAGCTGAAATGAATGCTTTAAACTTTACTGATGTAGCGACAGAATTCCACCAGAGGTTTAGAGGTTAACGGCATGTCTAGGTTCTGTTTAGTCTGGTTTCGATAAGTGCCTGTTAGTGAGTAGCAATGAATGATCTTTCAAGGGATTAAAAAATCTCCAGTGCATGTATACCAATGTAGCAGTGCTGAAAGCTGATCAGGGGTGCTACAACAATGTAAAGTATACAGTGCAATTTTATGGAATACAGTGCAATTCTGGAATACAGTGCAATTTTACTAGTGTATAGTGCAATTTTACGGAATACAGTGCAATTCTGGAATACAGTGCAATTTTACGGAATACAGTGCAATTCTGGAATACAGTGCAATTTTACTAGTGTATAGTGCAATTTTACGGAATACAGTACAATCTTATTAGTATACAGTGCAACTTTACGGAATAAGGTGCAATCGTATTAGAATACAGTGCAATTTTACTAGTATACAGTGCAATTTTACGGAATACAGTGCAATTTTACTAATGACGTTGAATCATGTGACTTGGACCCGACTTTCCCTGCTTTTTTCATTTTCAAGATGACGGACGCCGCTGACTCACATATTTTTGTCTTTTTCGAGCGAATTCGAATGATCCCTGTGTAGTAACATGCCCTGTGTGTAGTATGTAGTGATTTGACTAAAGGAATATCTACGAGAACGGTCCAAATTCACTCGAAAAACAAAGAAAGATGTGAGTACGCCATGTCAGTGGTGTCCTTGGAAAGCCGGGCCCAGGTTACGTCATTCAACATCATTAGTAAAATTGCACTGTATTCCGTAAAATTGCACTGTATTCCGTAAAATTGCACTGTATACTAATACGATTGCACTGTATTCCGTAAAATTGCACTGTATTCCGTAAAATTGCACTGTATACTCCTGGCACCCCTGGAAAGGTGATCTTTCTACCATACTGTGGAATAGCTCTGCACTGTTTATTACAGAAGTTTACAGTTGAAAGCTGCCCCTGGTTCTTACCACATGAGATCAGTTTTTGGCAGGAGTCCACATATCCACTCAGGGCTGCCAGATGAAGGGGGAGCATACCATTGATCCCTCTCCTGTAGGGGGTGACATTGTGGATGAATAATATGGTTTATTAATAAACATAGCAGCCTATCAGCATGAAAGTTCATCTGAGTTGGTAAATTACATTATGAAAAACTTAAACTTTGATACCAAACAGGATTACTTCAAGAGAGGCATAAAAGAGGCCATATACATCAGGGCACTTCAACCATCGCTCAACCGGGACGGGGGGCGATATCGACTTCAGACAACCTTTGACACTTTGCTGACGTCACACGTGGGAAAAATCACGTGTCCACAGCATTTGGGTCAGATAGCTGAGGAAGACTGAGTGATTCAGTCGAAAATTTCTGGTGAGTCAAATTTTGAGTTGGAGAAAAGTTTAAGTTTTTCATAACATAGCAGCCTATCCTTTGATCACAAGTATAAAATTTCTAAGATAAAACATTGGCATTAAAAAGAAGCACACCATAACATTATCATCTAAACATTGAATTCTGTCCAAAGGTACATGTAGTTATAAAAATCATATTTATTGAACATGACAATAAAGAAGAAATGGAATGTTCTCAGAGATAGACAACTGAATGTATACGTGTATGTCACCCAGTATATCAGTGAAAACATATCATGCACAACATTCAAACTTTGTCTGCTTTATTTCTAAACAGTCACCTGAAAATATACATCCACACAAGAGAATTGACAACTGAATGAAAAACCAAGAATGACAAATATTGTGAAGAAAGAATTTTGCGTTCTGCTTTAAGAGATTTCATCAATTCTTTACTTCAAAAAGATTTCTAACTATAGTCCTCCACCCCAACCCCTGTAGTTCTTCTAGTGTTTTTTCTAGACATACCTTGTGTGGTCGGCACCGTTAGCGATGAGAGTTGTGATGAGCAGCTCATGTCCGTATCGAGCTGCGATGTGTAGGGGCGTGTTCCCATCCTTGTCTTCACAGTCTATCTCAGCACCTGGACAACATGGAGGGAAATTCATTACATCTGGCAAACTCCACTTACGTGTGGTTAGTTCAATTATACAACAGCTACTACTGCTTGTGCCTCATAAAATGATACCATGATTAAGTCTTATTTTACACTGTCAAGACCAGCAGAGAGAATTATAGCTATCTGGTACATGTATCTTCATTTCATAATGTCGTACAACATTGTACATGTATCATACTGTTGATTGTAAACCATCTTTTACATACTACATTCCAATACTATTTCAAAAGGGTTTCTGTGAGACCAATGGCCAGTTTAAAAATACAGCAAGAAAAAGAGCTGTTTCTTGTGTGCTTGTATTTCTAAACAGACTACGTGTATCAGGAACAGAATCCTACCCACCATGCTGAATGAGAGTCTGTGCCCGGGTGAACCTGCCATGGAGAGCTGTCATGTGGAGGGGGGTTCTGCCATCCTTGGCCTGCAGGTAAAATATACAAATGTACATTGAATTCTAGTCTATTACAGGGACTCCACGATGAACATGTAGTCTGTGCAGTTATATTCTTACCTTAACCTTCTGCCTGCTAAGGTAGCCAAATTAAGCAACAAGGTTAAGAAGAGATTTATGCAAATTTGTTAATCAACTGTAACTGCACTTACATGTAGACCACATGAGCATGAATGTGCAGATAAAAATCACTGTCATTGTCAATAAAAAAGTTGCAAACTACTTCTACTGTAAAAAACATAAGATCAAAAGTTCTTTGACGGATGTCACTGGAAACGTCCGGAAATTATCTCTGTTATTTATCAAGTAGTAGAGTTTGAATTGTATTTGAATAAGACTCTGAGCCTGATTTCAAAGGCACGTAGGGTCATTGACCTGTACATTGCAGTCAGCTCCTTCGTTGACTAGCAGCTCCAGACACAGAGCACCATGGGAAGACGCGGCGGCGAAGTGCAGCGGGGTTTGCCCGCGGTGGTTCATGATGTTGACGGACGTGCCGAAGGTTAGCAGTTCGTTCACGACCACGTCCTGGCCGTTATAGCAGGCCACGTGCAGCGGTGTGTTACCGTAGTAGTTGGGAGTGTCAATCTGGAAGAAGAATGAAACATTTCATTTCACCAATTTTACATTTCTACATTAATTTTCATCTCAATCATAGTTATCTTAAGTACATTGGAACATTTTTCAAATAGCATCAGATGGAAAATGACAGCAAAGATACAAACGAAAATATAGAAGACACTGGAATATGTAAATGTGATTTGTCAAATCAAAATGTTTTTCAAAGATTAAAATACAATGGTCAATATCAATGAGTTAAAGTGAGATTCATTCTAGAATTGAATTTCTTCAAAGTTTTTGAGATGCAGTGACAAACCAGATACATGTATAGTATGAGGCATTCTTTCTTTGATTATGCACAGAAAACAAGAAAACATACAGACAGCAAAAAAGTACAAAATGTTAATTTTGTTCTATCATAATGGTAGATTCAAGTTAGTCTACATGTACATGCTCATCAATACCTGTGCAAGCATGTGACAGTGACTAAAGTATAAAGCAAGCAATGCATTATTTCTACTGTACTAACATTACTATGAGAATGAGATGTGATCAAGGCTTTTTTCTATCAATTATTTTAATTTCCATTTCTTTTTTGTAATGAGTGTCTGTTGAAAAACGTAGCTACAGGTCAGCCGTGATAGGCATCGCTACACCATCTTTTAAACCTTAAGGTGGCTTGAATATTGTATGTAAAATTTCAGACACTCAAAAAATAAACAAGGGAAATCGTAGATTTCAAACCTCCGGGTTTTTTTTTTCTATTGGTTTAGGTTATTTGTTTGTGTGTAGTATGAAAGTTATGTGCGTAATATGTTTGTATGCCGGTTTGATGGCTACTGACGGTTGGTTCGGTATGGACTGTTGATTAACGCAGTGTTCGAAATACTTTTTTGAGCAAAGTAGCACAGTGTGCTACCTAGGGCAAAAACTAGGTAGCGCAGCAGAATTTTAGGTAGCGCCACGCCCCCCCCCCCATTTGTCAAATTCTATGCACGTGTCGCAATACTATATTTCTTCCAATCATAGAGGTATAATACCTCCATGCTCTAATAAAGTTACTATTTTTGAGGTAACTCTGAAGTAGGAGCTCTGGGTCGAAGCCAAATTACGGGTGCGTGATTTATTCTGGTTTTCTACTGAGAAAAATCGGGACAGTATTTGCGCCGGGCAGCCGGCCATGTACACGAAATGGTACGCCCAGTATAGCAGCGATCTATTCATGTTTTATGTTTACAATTGTGCAAATTTTTTTTACAGAAATTTGATCACATATGCTTAAAAATATTGTTATACTGATGTTAAAAAATATTTTAAGACACTGAATCGCTGGCTGTGATGTGCAGCAGTGTACGTACGCCGCGTAGCGTGCCAGACATTGGCCGTGCAAGCCTATAGAATGCCCCACTTGCGACATAAATTTCTGAGGCTTATCATGCGCATCGTGCGTATCCACAATTATTCCCATCGTAAACATAGTCACTGGGATCTGAAATGCATACATACAGGATAATTTCCCTTCTTCAGCGGGAGTTTTGTTTATGTTTTGATCGTACACGTCAAACTGCCACGCTGGTCTACGCTGCGCGCTGGTCTCGGCTGCACTTCCGGGTTCCATAGATCGACACCATAAATCGACAAAGAAACAAATATTTCCCCCCAAATTTATATTAATTGTGCACTTTTTCACTAGATGTGGCTATGCAGTCCTGGAAAACAGCGTTTAGTGCATATTTTCAAACAGAAAAATCACGTCCCCGCGCCCTTCATGTTGCCGCCCGGCGATCTCAGCTGAAGCGAACAACCAATCAGAGACGCGTAACGCGGATACGTCATGCAAGATTTGCTATACCGCCCGCCCACCGCTTCTGCTGGCTGCTGCCATGCTAGCTACGCGCCGTACTTGAAATAAATTGACGTGTATCGCCGTATTTCTGGAAATAAATGCCGCGACACGAAGATCTAGCGCTGACTCGGCTTGCACCCAGCGTTCAGCGTCACCCGCGCCATTACCCCCGCCGTCATCCCGCACCGTCATTGCTGCGCCGTCACCCAACGTTTTTATCGGAACCAGACACCCCTCTGTTTGACCCCTTTTGAATGCTAAGACCCAAAACTGCAACCTCCCCATTCCTTAACAACATGGTAAATTCCATTTTTAGCATAACGGGGGTGTCCTGAGCACTTAAAAACCTTTTATTTCGACGCCCATAAACACATATGCAATTAAACAAAAACGTTCTGCATCATCTGCAGCCCAATAGCAATACGTATACCGAACAACAGACCAATCCGTCCAGCCGATCGCGAGAAACAGCTGCTGACAGAAATGTTTCGAACAATAGTAAAACCTCCTCGCGGAAGGATATCTCCTTCCCCGGAGGTAAAAATTCTTTGACAAAGACTGGTGTGAACTAAAAATATTAACAAAAGCATTAGTGTTATGCAATAATTAAAATGGTCCTTTTTTCAAGTTTTGAGAGATCTTTCAATTTGAATCAAGACACGTCAAGGAGAGATAATGAATGTGATGATCATAGATAATGTTACACTGATCTAAGCTTGACTGCATTCCAAATATCACCAAAGCACTGCAAATCTGATACTGTGACAGCTATGAGAAATCATTGCATTGTGGATGGCCGTGAGTGGTGCAAGGGGTGAAAGTGCAGAGTGGAAAGGTGAGATGTCAGCCCCAGCCAGCCTATTCACCAGTTTCATGTTCCCATGATGCATTGCACCTGGGGGGGGGGTAAAAATTCCCAGGTTGCGTTGTGATCTGAATTATGTGTTTCTGTGTTGTTTTTACATTCGTTGATGAAGGAAACTGAAACAAAGAAGGTTGCTCCCTTAATATATACTACAGTACAACATCTGTGGAATTATTTTGAGCAACAAAGTCAAGTCAATAGCTGTATCTCCTTTCTATTGACAGACAGTATAGCTTTACCATTGTAACATTACAAACCACATGTACCATGTTAAGAAGAACACAAAAATTTCATTTTCTATTTGTTGTCAGATTGGACCCATAGTAAGTCAATCAATGTTGAGCATAAAATGCCCCAACACCTCAAAACACACAGAAAAACAAGCTGTTTAACATGAACAGGATACCTTCCTGTGCTATGCAACCTGGGAGATTTTACTCCCCAGGTGCAATGCATCATGGGAATACTGAATAGGAAAGCTATGCATGGTACTGTATATGTAGTAAAGACACAGCACACTGTACTTACATCCACGTATGTTCTAGAAAGTTTGGACACAGACTGACAGGGAGGTAGGCATGGGAGAGAAATGAATTCAGTTCACAAGATAAAAGGATGTGAAATCTCCAGAGCAAGTCCTGTAGTAATAATGCTCTCTTTTGTTTGATTTCCATTGCAACTGCATAATTACAGTCAAACCTGTCCAAGCCAGGGGACCAAAGAAAAGTGGCCACTTTAAGCTTTCACAGGTGGGTTCGTTGAAGAGGGTCGCCTCACAACATGACTGAGACATAAATGGTTTGAAAGTCAAGATGTTTTAATGCCAAATGCTGTACTAAGTATCTTCAGTTCTGTGGTGAATGCATGTGGGCTATTGTGGGGAGGGTGGCACATGCACAGGGAACAATTTAGGTTGAACAAAAACATCATCCAGCAGTTGAGGCAAACTGGCTTGTGTCTCCATGATTTCTCATTAGTTATCATTAATAATCAACATTTAAGATGGAAATGATGTGGTCACCATGGGCAGGTATTAGGCCTTGAGCGGACCCAACTCAAGGTGGTCACGGCCACGTTGGCCAGGTGGTCACCTTGGACAGGTTGCTTAATGCTTGTGTCAATGGGGAAAATTTTTGGGACCGAGAAAAAGCGGTCACTAAAAGAAAAAGCGGACAGTGGGCTGCTTGAAGAGGTGGTCTTATGGGCAGGTTTGACTGTACACACTAAAACTGAATATGAGCCTGCAATCACCAGAGAACACAGTATAGTGGCTTTGGGTAGTATCTAGAGACTGAAAGGCAAACTAGTAGTCCGGATCCTCAACTCTAATAATCATCAAGACTGTGCATAGTGAGTACCAGTGAAAAAGAACCAAAAAAAATCTTTTCTCTATCATGTATAACCAAATTCCCCAATAAGTGCATTTGACCATATGATTGTATAATATGCTGTATATAACTTATATGTATTATCCATGCATGCATGTAGGTAGGGAAAAAGACTACAAGCTAATCTGTGGCTAAGAAACTATTATAAAGATGTATACCTTCTGTTTAAATCTTCTAAAGCATGCTAGCAATTTTAAGTCTATTCTGGTACTAGTAAAAGCAATATTCCTAAATGATAAGGACAACTACAAAAGATGTGGAAGGAAATTCAATGTTTTACCCACTTTTGACAACATGGTAAAAATGCTACTTTGCCTAAAATCATGATTTTCTGCTACAACAATATACATTGTACATGTTCTAGCAGGCTATTTTTTTTTACCAAGAAACATACTAGTTTACTGTTTGAAAGTTTACTTCGACATATTAGAACTGAGAACTGAAATAGTCCTACCTCCACTCCCAGATCCAACAACATTTTCACCACCGTGATCTGTCCACTGGAGGCTGCAGCATGTAAGGGTGTGTACATCTGTTGCCAAGGAAACAAAAGACTCAAAGTAAATATGGCAATGAAACCAACCGTGCTGAAGACAATGCTTTACATCTGAATTCCACTCCAATCCTTTGGAATGCAGAGTACTGCTGTATCAGCATTCCAGGACTTGTTGAATGCAATTTGAAAGATATCATTAAAAATCTACCAACTTTGGAGGGAAACGTTTTTAAAGAAGAAACCCGATGTACAAAAACGTAAAATAACTATAGCCTAGATGCCAGACTGTTGCCATAGCCACTGGTATACGGGCCAGCTCCTAGGCTCCAGGGCTAGCCTGGGTGCCAGACTGTTGCCAGGGCCAGTATACAGGCTAGCTCCTCGGCTCCAAGGCTAGCCTGGGTGCCAGACTGTTGCCAGGGCCAGTATACAGGCTAGCTCCTCGGCTCCAAGGCTAGCCTGGGTGCCACACTGTTGCCAAGGCCTGTATACAGGCTAGCTCCTTGGCTCCAGGGCCAACATATCCCCAAGGAAATTTTACCACAGACCCCCATAGGGTCTAACTTGGGGCTGGCCCTGAAAACAGTCTGGCATCCAGGCTAAACAACAACAATATGTAGTACACATCAAAATTACTCAATGTGTATTTTATATGCACCCTGATACATCAGAAATACACAACTTGTATGGTGCACATTGTTTATAGCAGTCAATATTACAGTACAAATGTACAGTAAATAATTTTTCTCCAACTACATGTACATGTAAATGTAGTCAAAGCCTACAGTTTATTTTGAGATTGATTTGTAGGAAGAACATCCCATACAAACCTTTTTGTCCTTACAGTTGAGTTCTGCTCCATGGTTGACCAATACTTTCACCACCTCCACATGACCTATCAGATTCAGGAGCCAAAGTCAGTTTTTCTAACAGAACTTGTAACTCTCAATACAGATATAAAGCAGCTACATCTGTTACACAACAAGAACATTGAGGAAAATGACTTTGAATGTGAATTTTTACGGTACCTTACGAAAATCATTGATATGATAGTTTTGTAGTAGTATTTTTTTTTATATATATCCAAATAGGTTAGTTTTGGTCGAAAAAAAACTGAAGGGGATAATATACTAGAGTGTTTTATCCTTTACAAAATGAACTTTTATTTTATACGAGGTATGAAAATGTAATTTTGTATAGTGATGAAGTAATGCCTGAACATGAAATTGTCAAAACTTCCATGGCTTAAATTCATGCAAACATTTCTGCTTTTACAATCATTAGATTTAGACATTTAATACTTCTCTTGCATCATATAGCATGCATTAAAGAACAATTACAGACCTTAAAAACTTCACAAAATGGCAAAAAAACTTAATAGTGGATACATTCCAAAGCTGATGTACATACATGTATTGTGCTCAAGCACTTAAATATACTGTTTTTAACATTGTTCCTACACAAGCATAGTGCTTACAAAAATACATTGTACATACATTGTAAGCCTTGCAAGCTACAAGACATGATGATGACAAATAAAAGCTACTAAATGATGCATGTGTAGCTGTCTAAGTATATAATACTGTCAGAGCTAGATCTGAGAATGCACTATTTTTTACAGCCCTTTACTCAGCACTCGTGTGCTACTGAATGATAAAAAGTGCAAATTCAGTACAATTCAGCTATCTGTGTTGTATTAAGATATCAATAACAACAAAAATATCAGCATAAAAACAAAATTCAATTCAGGCTCATTCAATTGTGTTGGAACATAAAAAATAGTAGACCCAATGGGTATGGTGTGCGTGAGTTTGTTAGTCAGTGTGTCCGTGCTGGTTACATACATGGGGATTACTAAATGCTACAGGACCTTGTGAGATGTGCAGTAAGTTAGAACAACTATACACCATAAAAACATGCACGGCTTTAGTACATAGTAAGTCAGTTGTATGCAGTCCACACTTTTTGAGGCTACAAATTTACATGCCTGAAAAGTCTTGAAAATTTGTGCAATGAATATCTGGGTCAATTCTTGACATTGCAGTTCCGTGTCAAGAAAACTTTTCAGCCATTTTTCTAGGACGTAATAATACATGGAGTATGATTGGTCAATTTGAATGCAGAACTGCCATCTTGTGGCAAGTCATGCCAATGATAGACTTTCTTTGAAAGGGTAACATTGTCATGGATGCGTGTGGCAAGTTTTCAACAGAATCCTTACAAACAAAACTGAGTTGTTAGGTCATCTAAATTCTACAACATTTCCCTTGTAGAGGAACTGAACTCACACCAGGCTGGGGTTGATGCTTATTTCAAACTCTAACTTGTCTAAGAACCTCATTGAGTTTTTGTACTGAAATACATTGCATGGATGCCTTAAATACAAATATAGTCATGTACACGTAGTTCATGTATTTCCAGGGTCTGAAAAAATCCAGGGGTTGGTTCTGAAAGTTTTAACAGTAAAATAGACTAAGGAATTTGTCATCATTCCATATTTTGTAAAATTTAGGAAAAGAAACATTTTAAGTACCTTCTTTCTTTCCGAATCTGCTAAATCTATCTTTTCCTTTTCAACATTTTGCTTCCCTTTTGTCAAACCAGTGTACAAAATTGTCTGATATATGTCATGTAACTCAGTCCTTTTATTTTAAGTAATTTGATTTGAAAAGTGAAGTACCGGTAAGTATACAATTTAACATGGGAATTTGAGGGCCACATAATACAGAGATATTTCAAAACCTACTTGAAGGGATGGATCAAACACATTTTACTTGGATAGGCTAGAACCCCAGCCACGTGAGACAGGCCAGGGACAAACTGTACTGGGTTAAGTAGCACACCCCTTACCCATACAGGAAGCGTAGTGCAGAGCCCTGCGATCCAGCCTATCATATGCATTGACATTAGCCCCCTTTTCCAGCAGGAGAACCACCATCTACATTGGGGGGGCGGCACATGTTAGAGACAGGAGAGAGAGAACCCGCTATTGGTCAGTGCTGGTCAGGTCAGAGGTGAATAGCTTGAGAAATGGTGCCGTGTCGGTTAGCAGATTAATTTTTGTATATTTCAGTTTTTTTAAAATGAATAAGAAACTGTTGGCTACTTTGTGGATTATAAGTACCGAATTCCATGCGTTGAACAGTGATATGAAATTCAAAATGGTTGCAAATAGAGAAACGGTGTCAGAAAGTTTTCATTTTTAATGTCAATAGATGATTATTACAGTAGACCAGAATAATACATGCAAATGATGTTACACCAAATGGCTGTAAATGCAATGGTAAAAAAAAGTATTATCTTGTGATAAATTTCCATGATTTTTAAAAAGCCTTTGAGCTAGCACTTCCCCATTGCTCAAGCTTCCCCCTTTTACCTGTAGAGATCCCCTGTGAAACAAAACACAACAGCTACAGTCAGATCCTTAGCCTCCTTACCCATGTAAGTTGCATAGTGTAGGGACCTGCGATCCTTCTTGTCGAAGGCATTGACATTGGCACCCTTGGAAATCAGTAACACCACCATCTGACAGGGAGGGGACAGCATGCAGGGTGCAGAAGGACAGACAAGTGAGTATAAGGTGTTCATACACTACGCTGTAGATACCTATGGTGTACCTGTAGATACCTACAGAATACCTGTAGATACCTATAGTGTACCTGTAGATACCTACACATTTGTATAGAGTACCTGTAGATACCTATAGTGTACCTGCAGATGATGTACTTATAGTGTACCTGTAGATACCTATAGTGCACCTGTAGATACCTATAGTGTACCTGTAGACACCTACACATTTGTATAGAGTACCTGTAGATACCTATAGTGTACCTGCAGATGATGTACTTATAGTGTACCTGTAGATACCTATAGTGTCCTGTAGATACCTATAGTGCACCTGTAGATACCTATAGTGTACCTGTAGATACCTACATATGTATAGTGTACCTGTAGATACATGTACCTATAGTGTACCTGTAGATACCTATAGTGTACCTGTAGATACCTATAGTGTACCTGTAGATACCTATAGTGTACCTGTAGATACCTATAGTGTACCTGTAGATACCTATAGTGTACCTGTAGATACCTATAGTGTACCTGTGATGACTGTTGTGAAATGTTGGAGCAAGTTGCCTCTCTTGTGACTTATATGTCTTTGTCATCTTGTCTTTTGTCTTCATTGCAAACTTGAAAATAAACTTAGTAATAATAGTATGGACATTGCAAATTTTGAATTGTAAGTCAGGGCTTTAGACGCCAGCACATAATTATCGATTTTAGATCAACAGCAATAGGCCAGGGGAGTTAGTGCATTGGTCAGCACAATATGTGACAGGATTGGCCGCAACATTGACAGCGAAACAACACAGACATTATTTAAGCCACAGGAGAGACTGGCATTGCTGTGTTTTATTCCATTATGTGACAGTAAAAATGACCATGTCTGCAGACTGCCCTCATTGTGAAAATGCACCAACAAGCTAGTAGAGTTCCTTCCTGAGAAAAAAAAGAGAGGTACCAAAAAAAAAATAACAATAAAAATGAAGTTATAGTAGGTTGTAGTGGAGAGGAAACTTGAAGAATGTGCAGTAGTGCATTGTGTGATGATAGGCCAGCAAATAATTCAAACGTGCCATGCACTGGCATGCATCGCTGCAACATGGTCATTTTTACATGCCACATCACAATGCAGTGACATAATAATAAAATTAAAAAAAAGAAGCTCTGATATAACAGGTGGTTTGACTGATGCCCCCTACCGGTCTTACCCTGTACTGCAGCCCAGTGAAGTGAGCGGCGGCCATGTTTGTCCAGGGAGTTGACCCTTGCCCCCTTTGAGAGTAGGAGCTCTACCATCTATATACATGTAGCAGCAATGCACGATTACACGACACTTCAAACAGCTTCATCGCCAGACTTCGCAAAAGCTATATTGTCAACTCCTACATGTGCATGAAGACTAAGAGACCAGTATATGGAAGTTTCAAGTTATATATTATGTAACAAATGAACATTGTGTATTTTATAGTCCCCCTAATTTAAAAGATTTCAATGTTAGCAGGAAAATTCATCTGTGTTGGTACAAGTCATTATGAAATAAAGACTAAGCTTTAACTTCCAACACTAACTAACAAAGTATTGGGACTTACCCCAAATTTTTGGTTGACTCCATCAACCTTGTTCACGGAATGGACCCGTCTACTCTTGGACACAAGATATCTGGCACGTATGACCCGCTACTACGGTCACGTGTCTCTGACGTCACATTCCAAGAGTAGACGGGTCCATTCCGTGAACAAGGTTGATGGAGTCAACCGAAAATTTGGGGTAAGTCCCAATACTTTGTTAGTTAGTGTTGGAAGTTAAAGCTTTAAATTTCAATGTTAATATCTACATGTATATACGTCCTGCTTCCAGTACTGATCCCTGGCCCCAATGTCACATTTTCTAACCTTTATCTTGTATTTTGGCAAAGATGTAGGAAATCATTCTTACCCACAGCCCTTACACCACAAAAATATTCCCTTACTCTCCCAATGCTATTTTGACACTAAACCAGCAATATATTTCTCCCAGTCCTGTTCCATTATTTTGGATCACCTCAAATTGAAAGGTAGTTAATCATATCAATTGTGGTGGCCAATCAAATGACTGAAGCTTTACAATTATATTGATCTAATTATCCAAATCAAGTATACAGTTACATTTCAAGACTAGAGAGAAACAAAGACAAGTCTTTAAAAAAAGCCAAAGTAACTGCTTTTAGCATTCATTTTTATAGGACTGGTAGAAAATACTGCTTTAACTTATACAATAACCAGGGCTGGAAATACTGGGTGCACGTGTACCTTAGTGCACACCCAAAATTGCAGTTTTGCAACCAATTTTTTGCTGTCAGTGCACCAGTGCACCCAAATACTTTTGTAGGTTCACATATGTAAAAATATCTTTATGTAATAGTATACAGTATATTCTTGTATCTATGTAAATGCCAGAAAAATGATAAAACTTTTTTGGAGTACTTGTTTAATTTGGGTTCATTGGAATTTTTGAACTTTGGTTTTGCAGGCACTTTACTTTATTCTATAATGGTGCACAAAATTTTTTTCTGTACCCGATTTTTAGCTTGGGTGCACCAGTGCACCAATTCCCAAAAATTAATTTCAAGCCCTGATATATAGAACCTTACCAGCACACCTAAATCCTGTAGTTATACACAATGTATGTATAATACTGTGTACTTACATCTGTGTGACCGTTAAAAGCTGCGTGGTGCAGGGCCGTTCTACCAGCCCTGTCAGACACGTTCACGTTTGACAGCAGCGGAATCAGCGCCTCCGCACAGCCAATGGCGTTGTTCGCTGCGGCTACGTGGAGCGGCGTCTGCCAGTTTTTGTCTCGCGCATTCACGTCTGCCGAGTGCTTTAGCAGCATCCTCACTGTGTCCTGAAATACAGTAGCAGGGTGAGAAATTGGCTTGTGCTACTGGGCCAGTGGGCTCAAACAGCGCTTGATTAAAAGTAACAATTTATCTTTGTAGACATTATAAATTACAGAGCTTACAGCATGGGTGCATCTTAACTTATATTAAGTCTATTGTCTAGGCTCTACCTTATTTGATTTCAATTGTCATCCTTAGAAATTCTATCAGACAACAAAGTATTGTGATCTAATAATAAGAAATACAAAAATGGCTCAAACATGGCAATTGATTAAAAGAAACAATCTATCTATGTAGACATAATAATTTACAGAGCTTGTGTCTTACACCAAGGGCACATCTTGTATGTCTATTGTCTTGGATCTACCTTACTTGTTTTCAATTCATCCTTAGAAATTCTATCAGACGACGAAGTAATGTTATCTAATCCTAGTAAGAAGAAATAGAAAACTGGCTCAAACATGGCACTTGATTAAAAGAATTTCAAACAATCTATCTTCGTAGACATAATTTTCAGAGTTTGTGTCTGATGGCTAGGTCACATCTTGTATGTATCAGCCTAGGCTCTACCTCTACCTTTAGTTCATGTTATCCTTAGAAATTCTATCAGACAACTAAGTAATGTGATCTAATAAGAAATACAAAAATGGCTTAAACATGGCACTTGATTAAAAGAAACAATCTATCTACATAGACATAATAAATTACAGAGTTTATGTCTTATGGCATTGGGCACATCTTGTATGTCTATTCCTAACAGCGATAGTTAAAATAGTGAAAATCTTACATTATATTTCGTTATAAGTTGAGGTAATTTTCATATTTGTATATTACTTGATCTGTTCTGCTGAAACAGGCATATCTACATCACTGATCTTACCTCGCTTTTGGCAGCACATGCCCTGTGGAGGGGCGTCAACCACCTGCTATCTTTGGTATTCACCCGCGCACCTGCAAGGGATTAAAACAGTCCACGTTCAAAATAACAAAAAGCCTATCATTAAAACTATCACAAAATTTGTCAATAAGGATGGAAAAACTAGGCAACAGACAGTGAACGAAATTTGAGAAGAGTTGATTTTTAGCCTGACGAAGTCTAGATTTTAGTCTAAATTAAAGCCGCAAAAGACATTCTCTCCATTATAGTATCAGATTTAAATCTATACTTAAACCCCACTTATGAGCACAGTTTCTCATGTATAGTATTCCTCCTATGAATCATAGGATGAATACTATAGTATGATTACAAAATAGATGAATTATTTAAACTGCAAAGCAAACTCTTGGCCCAAAATAACATGAACTGATCACAGCTTGTGCCTCCAAGTACAGCCTAAATCCGGCGCGAATATCCCTTATATTATACATCACCGAGAACGATAAAAGGCGGTTATGCTTCACGCGATGGCTCCATGCCACGGCAAGGCGTTAGCCCTGCCTCCGGGAAAGGTTTCACGAACCATTACATCAGCGTTCAATCAGCTCACACAGCGCAATAAGGCAGTGTGATGGGCAAGGTCCCAATGGCTGGCTGAAGCTGTGTGCATTAGCATGACCTTATCAGCTACAGGTAGAGCTGAATTCTAATGAGTAGTGAAGCAACCTTCCTGGTGCCTTTCAAGTCTCTTTTATGTGACGTTGTACGTGGAAAAGCTTACACTTACAATGTATGTGTAAACTAAAAGGCTGGTGTTTACAAACCAGGGGTCGAAATTCATTTTTTCTAATTAGGTGCACTGGTGCACCCAACCAAAAAAATAAGGTGCACCAAATATATATTGCGTGCACAACATAAAACTAATAATAAAAGTAAAATATTAGCAATGCCAAATTACCAACCTTACTAACTTCAAAATTTCAAACAAGTAATAAATCAAATATTTTGACACACCGTTGTTGGAAGTACAGTGTATTGTACTTTTACAAAAATTAGGTGCACAGCTCAAATTTTAGGCGCACAAAGGTGCATATATGCACCCACCATATATTTCCCCATGCAGACACACACACACACAAAAAAAACTTCACTTCCAAGGCAATCAGAATGAATGCTAGGACTGAAAAGTCACCATAATAAACTGAAATGCCTTGAGTTTAAATCCAGATACTGTAGTGAATGCTGGTAAAAGTTGTGCACATACCACTGAGGATGAGCAGGTTGACTATCTCTGCCTCCCCACAGTGTGCTGCAGCATGGATAGGACTGCGTCTCTCCACATCCTGACAGGGTACAGGGTTACAGATGTCAACAACATACTTTCACAACAAAGACATAGTGTAGAACAGGTTCATCAGTCATGTAGAACTAACACTAGTAACAGTTAGTAGAAAATTCTTCAATCAGTGACTGTATTTTGTAAGATAAATTCACGTACCTCCAAATTTTCGGTGTCGATTGTACAACTTGATCACGGAGTGACCTAGTCTCGTGAGATTTTTGGAGGTACGTGAATTTACCTTACAAAATACAGTTACTGATTGAAGAATTTTCTACTAAAAGACATAGTGGTGATGAAGACATACATTGAAGACAGTCATGTGATACATTGTATATAGAAAAGTTCTTTAGGCCTAGGAAAAAAATGTTATGTTTTCTGTTTCCCGACAAACCCTAGCCTTTTTTGAGTGTCAACCCCTGCAACTGCAAGAGACATAAATTTTTCGAGCTGATCAACCTTTCTACTACTAGTATATAGTACTAATTCTAGCTTTATGATCTGACACCTGAGTGACACCTTTCCAACATTGACATTGAAAATACATGTATAACTATAAGTGTCCTCATGCAATTTTTTCTTTGTTAAAATACCATATTGTATATTACTAGCGATCGCCAAAGTCTAGAAAAAAAAAATCCCTACCTACACACCCTATTTTTTTCTGGACTGAAACAGGAAACACAACATTTTTTTCCTAGGCCTACGCCTACCTAAGATTCAAAATTTGGAAATTTGTATGTACTGGTATGTAACATACATCATGTGTTATTTAAGAGCTTAGACTGTTTTTATTCAGTGTGCAAAATACCTGGTTGCCCAGACAGCCCAGTTGCCCCAGGCAACCAAATTTTACTTGGAGCAACCTATTTTTGAACCTAGGTGCCTAGTGTGCTACCTGAATTTTAAGATCCCCCCCCCCCCCCACTCACAAAATCATGCCCACTTGGCTTGCACCACTGTATCCAGCAGATGCTTTTTAATTTATTATGGCTATTACTATAGTATCAGTTAAATATTGTCAAAGGCTTATGTATGTAACAGTACTTAATTTGAGGAAAGTAGTAACTTATAAGTGGGGCAACCTAAAATTCTGATGGGCAACCTAATTTTTGCCGCAGGTTGCCCACTGGGCCCACTTTTGAACCAGGTTGCCTACTGGGCACCCTGGTTCAAAAAAGTATTTTGCACACTCTAGTATGTCTTCATGAGTTGCCTGTTTACATGTCGCAGTCTGGGAAAGAAGGTTGTCATGCACACAAGAGATTCTCCATGAGGGTGTAAAACAAACATTAGAGGTGTTAATCTGTCGATAACCACTTTTCGACAGATCAAGTACACTGTATGAGTACTACTAGTACTTTACACCTCTTTATATATATTTACATGTATTAACACTCTTATTCATGTAAAAACACTCTAGTACTCTAGTAATTATTTTCTCATCAATTTCTCACACCATTAAAACCACATAAAAATACAATAAGAGATGCCCAATGTTGAATACATTTTTTCCTAGGTCAAAATAGTTTGGAGAATTTGATCAGTTCAATCTAACACACTACACAGTGTAATCCTGTATGTGAGTATAAAAACAGATATCCACAACTCACACAAGTTTTCCAGATGTAAAAACAAGACGTGTTCGCTATAATAACAATGGTTGAGCCAGGAAAAACAGGCTTTGTGTATTTTGCAGTCACAACTGAAATCAGGAAAATGTGCAAAACTATATACAAAGTCCTTTTAAATGGTTTATCAAAAGACTCAGAGGACGTATCAAATCTAAATAAGATTTTTCTCATGCCTAATAAATTGGGATGAGCTAAACTTACTAAATGTTACATGATTGTATTGGAAGAACGAAGCGTTGTTATAATGTATTTCCTCAGTATAAAATTATAACACAGTTGAGTATTGTCAACACATAACAGTGATAGAAACACTTTTTTTACAGTGTTCTGCAATATTGCAGAGTGTCAAAATTTTGTTCTGCAATTTGGAAATACTTTCTGCAAATACACACTTAAAATTCCGGATCTAAACCCAATTGGCATATACAAAATTGGATGTTGGCTGATTTTATATGCAATTTGAAAAATACACGCAAAATTCCTTGTTTATTATACTATAGAGTCAGTTAAACACATTAAAGCTCTTGAACATCATTGAATCCTTAACCTGGATTTAAACCCATGGCCTATACAAAATTGCATGTCGGCAAACATTTTAAATGCGATTTGAAAACATGCTAAATTAGTAACAGTTGAATATCATAGAGCCAGTAGTAAACACAAAAGCTTTTAAACACCATTGAACCTCTAAAATAAGCCTGCAAAATTGCAGGTTGCTTAATTTTTCTTCTGCAATACTGAAAATGTCTTTGCAAAATGCAGACTGCAGATGAGTATTTCTAACACTGTATAAGACAATAGAATGTAGAGCTTGTTAATGTTGTAGTTGTACCTGATAGTTGATGTCTTCCTTCTTGTAGATGAGCGCTCGAACCTCGTCTGCATCGCCATGGAAACAAGCCTGCACCAAGGGAGGCTACAGAGAACAACAAACTATCATTAGAAATGATCTACAGTAATATGGAGAATTTCATGTTGATATCATATTCATGCAATACTGTACATGCATGTGACAATAGTGACATGCAAATTGATTTCAATAAATCTGAATATGAATAATTTTTTCTTTAGGTGTTGCAGAACTATAATATCATCTATGTACATGTAGCATGTCGCAGGGCAAATCTGAACATGAATCAAAGCAATTTCTATAACTTTAAAGGTTGTTGTCAGTTGCCATGTTTTTGTTATTGTTTGTGGAGCCTAACAGGATCTAGTCAGCTACAGTAATATGTAGTGATGCACACCTAAACCCAATTTTAGGTTCAGGTCCGGATTCAAGTCCAGAGGTTTAGGTTCAGTTCCGGACTTTTAAGTCCGGACCTAAACCCATGGCATATACAAAATTGCATGTTGGCAACCTTGCAATGTTGTCTGGGTGAAACTTTGGCCACATAACGTGGAGGCTGGTACTTGACGATGCCCGATGGCAATGTTTTCTTCATTTTGCAGCAAAGATTTTACAATCTACGGAAGGTTTTAGGTGGTTTGGAAAGAAAAGGGGTATGTGAAATGGTCTTTTATGGTAATACTAATATGTGACCTTCAATAATGGTCACTTACGAACCCGGGGTTTGTTACATTGTAATGTGTGTACTAATTACACTAATTATATGACCATATACATTAGTAATCAGACAGCTCATTTTGATAGCTGTATATTATTATTTTTGATAAATGTCATGTATACATATAGACCCTCCCACCACATAGCACTACACTGTATATCATCATGATACAACTGTAAAAACAGTTCATATAACCCCCTATCCTGCTGACTCCAAATGTCAGAATGGGCATATTTAATTTCACATGAATGACTCATTGTCAAGATTCTCATTCAAGAGACATTACATCCCAATTTATGTAGAAAATCATCATTATCACAAGCATCCACTGAAAGTAATACTGGTTCCTGAACTAATTTCTCCTGAGCCTAATCATTACAATTCCCAAAGGATGTGCTATCAGTTTCTGACTTATGATCCTTATTGACAATATTTCCTGTGACCACATAGTTAGCATTGCTAACTACCAGCTGTTGCTATACATGACATCAAGGACTAATTGTGTCCTCCAGTGTTCTATTTCTCACCACTGAACTCAGCTTAGTTCAGGGGATTGGTGAAAAATATAGCAACATTTGCTCTGAGTCAGTAATAAAAAAAGCATATAGCATGATGCCCTGGTATATACTCAAACATTTTTGTGGAATTTTTGCATCCATTGACTGGAATATTTGACCTTATTGTGTGTCAAAACGAAAGATAACACAATGTATCAAGTTTTGTTGCAAATTGTAACTTTTCATCATTGTTTCAAGGTCTTGAAATTAAATTTTTATTACTTTTGAAGTTTTGAACTACACTACTAATCTTTGGTCATATCAATGTGTATCTCCCAAAATATCAACATCTGCCAAGGATGCTTGCTTGCTTTGTGTAACTGTATGCTTACACAAATAATATTTTGTAAACTTTTGCTCAATACAAATTCAATACACATTTTGCTTCCCCCACAGATACAGAGATGACTACAAATTGAAGACCTATATTTAAGTTAAAAGCACTTTATGATAGTACAGTTTTATTACTGCTTCCTGCAGAGAAACTTGAGAAAGCATACAATTTTTAACAAGTAAATGGCCGTATGAAACACTTGCATTTGAAAGGCACCGTATGCTTTTCTATTCTATGATATCTGTACTAATTCTTATTCATTCATGTGGAGATGTACTTTTATGGGGTCATTTTACATGAGACAGTCTAGTTCAGACAAAGAAATTTATTGATCAGTGAACAGTCAGCTAGCTTTTTTGAAATGCCTGAATGCCACACCCAACACATGGCCTTCTTCCAAACTGTAAAGAGTGTCCATACATAAAATAACTGTCAGCATATTCACACTACAGAATGGAGGTTACTTGAAAGGTCTGGAAGTAATTTCCGTCTTTGGAAGCAAGTTGAAAGAGATTGACGTGTCTTTAGCAGGACTAGGGAATAGGTGCACTGGTGCATCCAACCTAAAAAAAATAGGTGCGCAAAAAATTTTGGGTGCACCATAAAACTAAATTTTCAAAATATTATTAAGTAGAATGACAGCAAAAACTAATATTGTTTCAGTTCTAAAGAAAAGAATGAGTGTTAGATGTAGATGATTCTATTATTTTTCTGACACTTGGAGGTTTTGAATATGCTTTATACTACTATACAGTTAACATCTTTACATACATATCCCTACAAAAATTGGGTGCACAGCTCCAAATTTATTATAACAATATTTCTAGCCCAGATTAGTATCGTTTACCTGGATGTCTGGAGGTTTCGTCAATATACAGTTTTGAACTGTGAACAACAAGCCACTATACTAGTCTAAAGAAACAGCTGGGGAGATTATCTGGAATTTGGACTCTTGAGTCACTGTGATGGTTTGATAAGAGACATTCCTTTGCACAGTAAACCTAGAATAAGACTGTACTGTGTCCATGTATCTGTATAACCACCATTTGCCATAGCACACTAGCTTCTGTAGTATATGACCTTCAAATCAAAGACTTCATAACTTTGGCACTCTGTTGTCCATTAAAATAATAAACATTTACATTGTGTGAAAAATCTATGATCAAACACACCCGGTGATACTTAAGGTCACAAAAGTCACGGCTACCAAACTACATACAAAGTTAATGTATATCACCAAACAAACCACTTGAAAAGTTACACCACACAGCATCATTTTTTGAAACAAAATACTTGTAAACTACTCCAAAAATACATGCATATGAGATCTTCGAGCACATCATGCAGCTACAAATTACAATTCTACGTGCGGGTCATTTAAGTAGATCGGCTTATTTAGACGCAATTTCCATATTCATGGTCATTTAAGGTCTCATTCATGAGTTTTTTCCATACATTAGAAACCATGCATTAATGAGTGACTTACGAGACCGTGTTCCCTATGATCCTACATTAAATCAATCGATATCTTTCATGCTATGTTGAGCACACGTACTCTACATCTCATAGAAAAATTGCCAACGACTTCTATACACACAATCCCCTTTTATGGGAAATACAAACTGCACCTAGCGGCTGCCCGCAAGAGGCCCTCCCACGCTGCAAACCTACGACCGCACAACTCACAACACTGGACTGTGCACGTCCGACCTAGCGCGCGGCTGCCGACAATTACGTCCTAATTTCATCAGTTACAAACAAGCTTTCACCGCTTTGACGTTTTACATCAGTTGGGATGGCTAAAAGGGAAATTCTCACCAATAAAAACACGCGTTCATACAGCCGCTTAGTTTTTGACTTGGCACTCTTTTAGGGGGTACACTCGGAGTAATACATGAATGAGACCTTAATAACCATTGATTATTAATAATTGTGTCTTAAATGAAAGAATATACATCCCCTAACAATCTCTGGGAAAGATTTTGTCTCACGTCACTCCGTTACCAAGCAACGGGTCAATAAAGTTGCGTCAAAATTTTGATATGAGCAGCGCCACCTGGCAGTCTGAAATAAAAGTACAACAGATATCTTAATTACCCTTATGACGTGTCGGAAACAGTAATTAATTGTCTTTTTCGTTCCGTTGGGTAGATTAATGTGTTCTGCATGAGATTGTTTGCCTGTAAACCTGAATAGACAGCAAGTGATAGATGTGAACGATGCTGATCATTTGGTGTATACTGGCAAATGATACGTAGCATCAGTAAGGACATTGATGTGCATGTCGCATCAGGACATGCCCATAAAAGCGAAAACATCGACATTGCACAAACAACAGTAAAGCCAAACATATACACGTGCTAAAATTTGAACCCGAGGTAAGAAGAAATAAGCGACATGCTGCTGATAGTGCATCTAGCGCACTCTAAAAGTCAGCCTAGGCGGGAATGGGGAGTGGTTTACAGAGGTGACGCAAGATCCTGCTTACAAAAATGCGAGGCAACTTCGGTCAATAGTACCTTTTTCTACTTGTTGAGAAGAATAAAGGCAAAAGAGGCCAAATTGACCATAAACTATCACTCAGAAATGAAGGGGAAGTCCAGACAGCGTTCTTACCACAGAGCAAAACAGAAACTTTTCCAATGAAAGTTACAGTAATGCTTTGGCATAATATATCCCTTCTCACGTAAGTAGAAATCCACTAAATCTAGTCGTATTTTGCAGTCTGGAAGTCTGGGGGATACAAATTCACGTCAGCTGTAGCGTGTCAGGTGTTTTTCTGTTAGTTGGGGGGGGGGAGCGGACGGTGTAAGGATCCACCGCCCTGACAGTGGCGGGGGGGGGGCGGAGACTCAATGCGTGCATGCGTGCGTGCGTGTGTAGGGGGGGGGGGTAAC